GATTATATTAGACTTTCGACGTTCGTCGCCGGTCATTGTATCTTACGCAAGAAAAAATATTATACCTATTTATATTATAAATATTTGTTATGTTTATGTTAAGGATGCTTTCTTTACTAAATACGAGAGCGGCACTGAAAATTTTGGGAATCAAGGAAGTGACACAACATTACTATTTAAAAATGTATCTATTGCTTTTCGAAGTATTCTCCGAGAAATTTGACACATTTTTCCATACGTTGGAACCAATCATTGAACCATTCCATTCGGAAGTTGGGATCTTCAAAATGGCCGTTTTGTAGGCGTCCACAGCTTCTTCAGGTGATGAAAATCTCTGTCAACGCAATGAAAGTATAGAAATCATTAGGGCTTCGGTCGGTGCTGTACGGCGGATGGTCTAATAATTCTATGTTTTCTTGCTCTAAAAGCTCTTTTGTTCTGTGTGCGGCGTGAGAACTCGCATTGTCGTGATGGAGGATGATACGGCGGTTGCAGTTCTCTTTACGGAGTTCAGAAACGACCTGTAGCAAACAAATGTAGCATACCATTCTGCATTAACCCTTCCTTGTCCCTCAAGAGGAATAGTCGTAACATGGCTGGTTATGGAGACAAACGTGGCTACCATTATTTTTGCAACACTCCGTGAACGAACAATTTTTGTTGGCTTTAACTCATTTTCGAACACCCAAACTCGTGACTGGTTTTTTGTTTCAGTTTCGTACGCGTATATCCAGGATTCGTCACCTGATACGATGTTGTATACAGCATTTCACGATCCTGCGTGGAATCTTTCGAGAGTTGTGACGCACCAAGTAACGCGAGCCGCTTTTTGCTCTTCACAGAGCGAATGCGGTATCTATCCATCGGGAAAACAACTTTTTTACACCTAATTGTTCATGCAAGATTATTTGTATTTGACTCATGCCAATGTCTAAAGTTGCCTGAATTTCGCGGTATGTCACATGTCGATCTTCCTCAATCAGCTTACGCACAGCATCAACGTTTTATTGGGTGACTGCAGTTTTTGGACGACCTTGACGGGGACTCACTGAGCTTGACACGTCCACGTTGAAATTCAGCAAACCAGCGATAATTTGTGATTTTGGATGGGGCTTCACCACCAAATGAAGAATCATCCAATGTTATATATATATATATATATATATATATATATATATATATATATATATATATATATAATCATCGAAAGTCATAATAAATCATCGCTCTTGAATTTTCTCGAGTCAATTCCATTTTCTCAACGACTAAACAAGTTTGACAAAACCTTGTGAAAAGACCGAGAATCTTTTTTTTAAATAAATAAATGGTATTCGATTTTTAAAACCAAGGAGTTTTCAATTAAAAAGATTTTAATATGACAGGAACAGTGGAAATATTCCATTCCCGATACTTTTAGTGCAGCCTTGTAGTGCAGACTAGTATATTTATGATATTTTTATTTTTATTGGCGTTTCATAGCAATGTTTGCGTACTTAGAACACATTTATAACTGCACCTAGTAATATGTATGCAAATTGCGATCAAACACAAATCAATCGTGAGATCGGACTCTATTAATAACAGTCTCGTGCTTTCTCTGAAGACAACGTTTGCAACTTAAACATGTAGTGAGCAAGCAGTGATTACAAGTTGCGATTGTGCAACTACTCGTAAGTTGCACTTGTAATGAACAGTAGCCACGGGGATTTATGTAGCTAACCAACAGAATACGGTTGTCTTAAATGGAGATACCACACACAATTTAACACGCTTCTATTAACCGTGTGGCGTGGCGTGACTTAGTGAAGTTAGTGAGCGCGCAGCGCCGGTTCTTTCAGGTATTTGTTACAGCTGTTAACCGCCCAAATGGATTGCTTCTACGCATTTTTATACAGTTGTTTAATGATCCAACAATTAATGGCCTTCTTGCCTAACTATTTGTTTGTTCAATATTTATGAAAGCGTCTAAAACAAACGAAAAATACTTATAGAGAAATAGGTATAAGAATTAAAACTAAAGCGAGTTTAATTGACAACATTTTAATTACAAAACACCACAAAATCTATTGACATGAAATGTCACATTTGGGATTGCTTAAGTACATCGCCATATAACTATAATAGCTTTAGGTAGGTACATTCTCATATACCTACAAAATTATTTTAGGATTGTGTATTTAATACTAACAATACATACATATAATGTAATAGTTATATGGTATTTATATTATAATACACAATATCTTTGCACAGAGCTATGTTAAATAATATAATTTTAACATGAATTTTTGATGGTTTGAGAATATTTATACAAAGTTTTTAACCGAGTCCATTACTTTCAAATAATTTGATTTAGGATCGTTCTTTTGTCTAATATTGCCACAATGTCATAGTTACTGATAAATTAGGAGAAAAATAACTGAGCCGAGTTGAATCTTAGATATAAAATATTTATTACTTCGTTCGCCCTGTGACTGATGTTCTCACCAACTCGCACTCAACGCGAGTATGTGCAAGTCTTTTAGTGGTGCATGCCAGTAGGCGCATTAACGTTGTACTTCTTCTTTAAGTTCTTCTAAGTCTAAATGCTGAATATGGACACACAATTGTTTAAGCGTAACAAACGTTTGCGCGTTTCTGCTGTGTACGCTGTACTGTTTTTTTATGTATACCACCATCTAAGTTATAAGATTTTTTTCACGACACCCATAGGATGATATGAGGTAATGAATTTTGTAACGGCACCACCACACGGTGCGTTCTAGAAAAGACCTCGTATCATCTCTGGCCTTAAAAAACCTGTCGATGGTATGTTATATGCGACTGAAATCTATAATATATTTAGGTAAGAACTTTAAAGCGAGTAACTTGACTTAGTTATTACAATTTTAATCTTCGGTCTATTCAATATTTATGTATCTATAATAATAAAGCAGTAGGTAAAAAATCTTCAGAAAATAATTTCATTTTATTATATTGTAGCAAACATAATGATATTTGTGCTCAAAGCGTAAAAATAAATATATTTTGCATTTGGTTTAAGATACAAGACAGTTTCATCATCGGCATTTCTTCGTCTTAGTAATATTGCAGAGCACGCTACTGTTAACGAGTAATTTCGGTTTATTAATATAAAGTCTACTAAATTACAAAGCAAATATATTCTAGTAGTTACACGACATCGATTTAACTATTTACATTACACAAATACTTACATATGTCTACTTAAAACGAGTGTCGGCTTATAATATCACATAATTACTATGGACCAGTGTCCACACTTCACGGTTATGTTCGCTGTTGGATTTTTTAGAGCGAGGTCATACGCTGAGCTGCAGTGGCGACATCGCCAGGTTACGCATAGTATGGTAATGTATGGGACGCCGAAGCTATATTATCTATAGCGCGTTTCGACGTCTAGTTCTTAACCCACTATCACAGGGAAGTTATTAGGGATGGGCCGAATATGGATTTCACCGAATATGAATATTCGGCCGAACGTTCGGTAAAATTTTTACCGAACCGAATATTCGGTCGAACATTATTCGGCGGGATTACCTGGGTACCTAACCAATTTATGTCGAAACTTCTTACCGCAAAGCGCGCGAGATTAGCGCCAGCTCCCCTGCCACACCTGACATGTTATTGTATCATCTAGTACTGAGCAAATTTCCGGCACATGCTTATGCTTTGACTATTTTTGTGCGAAAAAAGTATTCTTAGTGAAAATTGATAAGTATGTGACGCAAAAGAGTGCAGCAGGAGATCTACTATTTGGACCAATTTAAGAGAAACTGACGACTGTAATGTAATGTTTCTTTGTTTGATTCCAAACGAAATTTTATTAAGCTTTCTATTTGCTATTATTGGAAATAAATCTACAGTGCCTCCAAAACATAATGTCTTTATACAAGTAGATTTAACCCATAAATAAATATAGTTTCAACAGTAAAATTATAAAAGACATGGCATTACTAAATTCGTACATTTCCATACAGTGGATACTTTGGGTACCACTTTACCGAATATTCGGTGATTTAGCCAAATATTCGGCCGAATACGAATGTTCGGTAAACCTGCTGAATATGCCGAATACCGAATATTCGTTTTATATTCGGTAATCATCTAGAAGCATCTCTAGAAGTTATGTTTAGTTAAAACAGCGCATCGTCTGCGGCTGTGTTGTATCCAGTGTGGGGATGTCGATTCTTTCCAAAGAAGAAAAGATCGATTTTTAAATCGATTCGAATCGAAATCTGATGAATCGATTCACAAAAAATCGAGGTCTAAAAGATCGATTTCTCAAAAATCGATATTTTTTCGATTTGCTTTCAAAGTATAGATTTACCATATCAAAAGATACAAAAAAGTACAGATTACAAAGTATTTTTTATTTCTTAAATCCATTAAGAAGAGATGAAAGAAACTGAGCGCACACCAGTTTTACGAGTTTTTGAATAGAAAAACTTTCATTCTTTACGAGTTTGGGTACATTCAACTAACTGTAAATCATTTGATAGTTCTTATAAAAACAGAAAAAGATTCAAATAAAGAGTGAAATATCGATTCAGTACTATATACCGATTTAAAAAATCGATCTTTTTGGCACAAGAAATCGATTATTAGATTAATTGATCTCAGATCGATATGCCTAATCCAGTGCAGCGAAATGATTGTGAAGCGGCAACACATCGTATGGCTTCGCTTTTAGAGTGCGAATTTATAGGATTTCGGTGCAAATCAACATGTGAGTGTAAACCATAACCAGTCAATGCATGTAAGCGAACTTTACAAGTCCTCGTCAATCGAACTATTAATGTCCGTTTAGTTAAGTCTTCACTTATTTATTTTCCAGCAACACTGATAACTTCTTTATGTTTTGTATCAAATAAGCTTGTCCATATCACAATAATTTAAGTTTTAAACGTTCGTAATCCATCATTTTGGGTAAAAGTCAAATTCTTATCACTGGTTAGATCACTGGGTTATGGAACACTGGATTAAACATGTATAGGTTCATCGTCGTCTTCGTCGTCCGTGCGTCTTTCCACTGAGTGTTCCCTAGGGGATCGTGGTGGTGGCGCAGGACTACCTGGGTCCACATCTGGGGATGGTGAGCGTCGTGCTTGGGCATAGTAACCTAAAGCACCCAAAGCTGGCGCCCCTAGGGAGCCCAGGTGAGCCGAAGGACCGGGCAATCCTAGCCCAAGAGGTGGCACACCTGCTAACGGTGCACCAGGATATAACCTGTAACAAATTTAGAATTGTATTAAGAATATAAGAAGCTTAAGGATTTTCTATATACCTACACTAAAAAAAAACTTTGCTTCAATATATTAAATTGTGTTCTAGATAATATAACAAAAACTAAGGACCTGTCCCGGCTTCACACGAGTGATTTTAGGATTTCAATTGCAGCGTACCCAATTATGAATCTAAACCATTCAGGAACCCACTCAAACGCACACAAAAATTTACGAGTTTTGAGTTTAAGCGAGACTAAAAAACAGAAATTGATATTTATATATTGAGGTTCAAAACTATTTTTGTATTGCAATGTTTATTTACGTTAGTTCAACAAGGTTTGAAACCTATAATTTTGGGTAATTCAAATTGTATTTTGTTTCCGAGGAAGAAAAAGCAAATATACAAATCGGGGAATTTAATCGTCACTTTATTAAAACTCTACTATATTCTTTAATAATGAAATCATCTGTTTGATTCAATCTTGTCCATTTTTTTTATATATATATATATATATATATATATATATATATAATATATATATATATATATATATATATATATATATATATATATATTATTTTGGAAACAATGGCATCTTCACACATTCGTTAAAGAAATTTTATTGAACAAACCGTCACGAAGATTCCTTGACAGAGTTTGCCATTTTTTAAGTATGTGAAGACATTTATGGGAGCTCAGGGGCCACAAAAAATAATGTAATAAATCACGACCCGAAAAAGTAGGTATATGTGTGAACGAGCAATGGTATTAGGACGGTATTTGATTTTTTTTGACTTCCTTATCAATAAAAAATATAAACTTAATGTCGAAAAGCATTAGTATTCTAATTAATTAACAAAAATAGAATACGTTAGCTATACTTACATCGTGGTAAAGCCACGCTGCAGCTATATTATGGTTATACAAATGGTTCGGCTCGACCGGGGTAGGACCACGCTCTCACAGAATAGCAGCGTAAAATAGTAGCTTAATGCTGCTGTGTTTCGTATGGTGAGTGTAGAGAACCGGAGACCCTTTTTACTGGAGACGAGGCATTCCATCTTAGTCCTCAGAGGTGATTTGAATTTTGATTTTCAATCGATGATATATGTAGATGTCCACGGGTTACAGCATCCACTCACCATCAGGTGGAACGTGTGTTCGTTTGCCACCCATATTCTATAAAAAGAAATCTTTCAGCCAACGTATTACACTCATTGAAAAACGAATTAAAAAAGTATTATAAATATGGGTACCGATAAGGCAACGGTTTCTGAAGCGTGTTAGCGGCGGTGGCTGAGGCAGCGGCTGCTGCGGTCGCAGCCGCTTGCCGGTAGTACAGGTCTGCAGCTGCAGGCGCTGGCTGCGCAGGATATGCAGGAACGCCCGCCCAGTATCCACCATACAACCGTTGGAACGCCGCGTAATTTCCAGCTTCGGCCAACAATTCTAACCCTACTGCTGTCTGACGTTTCCATTTCGTCCTGTTGAAGGAAAGACATGGTTATCTTATGCTTTATGGGATAATCGTTTTTTATTGTAAATAAAAAGTGGTAAAATTGACATATGACTATGGGTATGTTTACTTTGTGTTTAAATAAAACCATAGAATCACTAAATGAAAAATACATGTGGTATCATTATGTAAGAGTCGCAAGAAGCGAACAAGCTTTGCAAATTGAGGAGATCGCCTATGAGGCAATCTATGGGGGAGCCTTATGTTCAACAGTAAACTTTTTATCGGCTGTACCTAATTAATTAAAAACTAAGCGTCGAATGAAATTAGTTTGGATTTAATATCAACAATTCTTCTCCAAAAATGTGATACATAAATATGTAATACTGTGTCACAATAACCGTGAGTTTGCACTGACGCGATTTTCCCAAAAAAAAAAACATGTTGTGTTTATATGTAGTGAAATATGTTTGACAGTTGACAGTTTATTGTACATTACATATTTTAACTATATATCTTTATAAATACAGAAACAAAATGTTTGAAAACAAATTTGTACTAATATTGTCATGTTGAAAGATAACTTTGAATATCTGTTGAAAATTTTACACAGTTTTTGTGAGCACGAACGCCACCATCAACAAAACATGTTGTGTGATTTATTAAATAATAGATATTTATAAAATAATTTATGCGATTTGTTTAAAACATAGATACATGTCGGATGTTTCTCAGTCCAAACGTACTGTAAGGCAAAAATAATTATTAGTATTCTTTGTAAACAACGTTTTAGAAATAATAATTATTGTAGTGATCATATTAAACTGTTGAAAGAGATATAAATCGATGTCATCAACTCAAAAAATATCACGAAATACTACAAAAAAAACATTCAATTTCAAACCACATTGCAAACTGAGATCGTTTCTAAAATACTGTAAACTGTCGTTTACGGACCCCAAGTCCATAGATCACTAACCCTGCAGCTTGTGACCCCAATCGTCATCAAATTTGTCACAGGCCACTCGAGAGCACAATAAAGATACCACAATGCAAAGAGTAATAAAAAAATATAAATAAAATAATAAATTTGACAAAACGTCTTGGGCACTCGTATGTTCGCCGAAGCGTGGTTGAGTACTTTAATTTGATTTATTTGATTTACTCCGAAAGGGTGAACTCGTATATATTATAAGATATTGCTACGGAGATATCGTTAATTTTTTAAAGCATTCTATTTAGTCATCTTTAAGTAGCAATTTAGCGAAAAGTTCGCATCGTATATCTCTATTTATGGGATATTGAGAATTTTTTCTTGAATCGCTTATATTATTACCTACTCGTAATGTATAATAAACAAGATTATTTACTCATACATTACGTATCTCATAATAAAAATCATAAAAACATTTAATTTGTTTTTATAATGTGACCAAGTTATTTAAACGTTTACGATTTTTCACTTGATATACTCGTAGAACAGTATTTTACTCCCACTCCCACCTTATGGCACAGAATAAATAATAGTACATACTATGTACTTATTGTAAATGATGATGTAGCTATATACCTATTCTAAACAGGCTTTGCTTGAAAAAATGTCATTAAGAAGCCACCAGCTTATGGCATTGTATTTAAAACTGCGTTCACTTTAACGCTTTTCTATTAGTTTCACGTTTATACTTTATATACATAATTGTAATTTGATTTCAAATGATCTTACACTTTATTTTATGTCGATATCATGCAGCTAATGTCAATATGATGTCGTCTTATTAACCAGTGAAAAAAATCCTTATATTTAAAAATAATATCATTAAGTTTATAGGTATTTAAAATATGTAATTTAAATAATATGTAATTACACTTCTGTATAAAATACTTACAACAAAAACCTAACGCATCATCGAACAAACATAACGCATTTTAGGACGAATTTCAAAATTGAATTTCTTTTTCAATTTGCACGGTTTTCATTTACTTTAAAAGTGGCCTGTTATTGTCATCCAATGAAGGTTTTTAATAATTCGAAGGGAGTTGTTATTACGATGCGCATTATCATTGCCGTTATTATTGTTATGTAGGAGCCCATTGTCAATTCGCCTCGTTTCGTGGGGTTGTGGCTGTTAGCAGACGCTTCAGTGGTTACCTCGTTAATTAATTTCTGTAAATGGATCATTTAATTTTATTAAATACAAATGAGGGGGGAGTTTAGATGTTGTTATTCATCTACTTAGAGCGATATTATTAAATTTATCATTGCTTCCGTGCTTGATTCAATTTGAACACCCTTATATTTAAGTTTTATGGTATGAAGGTTTATTTTAAAATTGTTTCACTACGCATCTTCTACTTTTTAAGCTCAAATCGTCAAGAAAATTTGTTTCGGTTGACGTATTATTTTAATAAACAAAATTTTTAGGTTTTAAAAAAAAATAAGTACCTAACTCCTAATATCGATCTATTTATAATCTGTTCTTTCCTATAAAAAAAGTATCTATTTTTAATGTACATGAGTACATATGAAGATATATTCTGAAGTCAAGTCAAATCTCAACGTTTTAAAATTTTACTCCATAATTATCAGTAGCTGACATTTGATCGATAGAAAGCGACCGTACGCATTAATCACGTATTATGACGGGTTATTACGACGAACTAACATTCAACAGCACTTATTTAATTGTCAAGTGCTGAATGAGAGGCAATCTGCTCTGTGACACTATTCTTTTTATTACCGCCGTGGGGTACGGACAAAAAGCTCTCGGATAGCTCTTAAATTTAACCCGCTGTCTCAAGACCCCTCAGCAGACAATACGTTCCTCTCATTCCAACATTAATAGCGCATGGTGAAAGCTGGTTTTCTCCGTCTCTGTCTTGCAGTCCCCGGCGGAGTCTGCGCTCGCTCCGCCCAGTGGTTTAGTGATTTGATGCTGCGTGAACTGATTCAATTGTAGTTTGAGACGGCTCATTCGAAAACGAGCCTTAATGGATCACGCTAAAGACTAAAATCGTTCGGTAAAATGTTCTTGCTTACAACCTCTCCGAGGGGGGAGGTTGTTTATCTCGATTTGAGTTTTTCGACTACGTGATGCGAATTCGGCTTGTATAGTCGACGAACAAAGAGGACGGTAGTACTTTCATCGATCCAAACAGTATGCGCCAACAGTAGACGCTTATAACTTTTTAGTTTTGACACTCCCTGCACAATTTGAACTTTGTCGAATATTATTTTTATTTTTACGTGCTTGAAAACTTTCATAACATGTAGTATTTTATGATAATATAGTATATTGTAGTATTTTTTATATGAAAGACACCTATATCGAATTAATTCATTAATCAAAAAGAGTTATTACTTGTTTTATGATTTTATATTCATTTTATTATTTTGCCTATTTAAAAAAGGTGTACCGAACATAGTGTTTTAAAATATATTTAAATTAACCTTTTTCTAGAGAAGGGGTGAAAAAGCGGTCCATCTGATGGTAAGTGGATGCTTTGGATCATAAACATCTCTATCCTCGACTAAGATATTATACTGCCTCTTTTCCACTAGACAGGATTTCCCTCACTCACACTAAGCTGCTCAGCACTAAGCTGCTAATTCACTCTGTTTTTTTTTATGAGAGCGTGGTCCTTCCCCGGTCAAGCCCGGACATTCATGCTGCAACCATTTTATAGCTACATCATGGCTTTACCACGAATAACAATATAATTTAAAACATTATTAATTAACTATAACAATATTAGGTCCTAATTATGTACCTAGTCGCCTAGTCGGTAATTTATGAAGTCACGAAATAGATTCGCAAAATTAAATTTATATTTTGACAAAAAGACGGATGCCAAAATAATAATCACAAAATTAACATTCCCAAGCATTAACGTATGTCATAATCCATACTTGGATCGGTCAAATTATGAGTTACAAATTAAGCGGCCCCAAAATCCGCTATTAGAATTCATCCGAAGTTGAAATGGCATTTGCAATATAATGATTAGTTGGGTAAATGATAAGCCAAGCGACCTCAGCGTCCTTGGTGCGATTCCCGTGTCTTTGCGGAGGTGTAATTTGGTTGGGTTCGCTCGGACCGATTAGTTTGTTTCTTGGTAACTCTTTGCGGAGCCCGCGCATTATGTCATTACTGACGTGTAGTCACACTTGGTGAATTTTAACTTTTAGAATAGATGTTAAAATTATCAGTTTATAATTTTTAATTATTTAAAATTATATAGATTTTGAAGAAAATCTATGATATCTATGTTATTAATATAATATAGGATCTATAATTGTTTTTTTTTTCAATTGATATTTTATTACCAGTATTATGATTTAAATAAAAAACTATTACGAATAACTACTGCTCGTATAATTATAATAATGAATGATTCTTTAAACACAAATAATCTCTATTCAAACGCGTATTAGCACGAAGAGCCGTTATAGCTCAGATGGTTAGCTTAGCTCGCTAAATTTCACAGTAGGTACGCGAGCAACCCGGGCACCGATTCCCGCCGGCGCCAATGAAATTGTTAATTGTAATTTTAAATGCTGTTTTACCACGTGATTTGCGGTGAAGGAAAACATCGCGAGGAACTTTGCATGTCTGAGAAATAAGAAAAAATTTATTTCGAAGACGTGAAGTTCGCCAACAAGCATTGAGGCAGCGCGGCGGACACTTCCATATCTTAAAACCTGAGATGGTTTTATGGCAAGGACATGTCCGAGAGGTGGCCTGTGTCCAGCAGTACGACGTATATAGGGAGTATCTTTAACTTTTAAACATATATTAAAAATACAGTTGTAATTAAACTATATAGAACGTAAAGATACATTAACACGTATACGCAACATGTATTATAAAGCTACAGGTGCCGTAATTGTGAGAAAAGTGTTAAAGCAAACGAATGAGCTATAGTTACACTTGACAGAGATTAATGTGATTTCATTCAAGCATAAGTCAGGGTTCATGTCGAATCAGGCTTCATTTATAAGTTAAGCATTTACGCCTTGGCATAATTGGA